TTTATCTGTTGTGTGTGTGTGTGTGTTTGTGTGTGTGTGTGTGTGTATGTACAGGCACTGGATTGGATTCAAGAGACAGGTGAAGTTTACCTGGCCACACACACGTCACCTGGTGACAGCAGCGAGGAAACACAGCAGCTGCTCAACGACTACCATCACTTCAGACTTACTGCCAAGGTACACTGTGTGTGTGTGTGTGTGTGTGTGTGTGTGTGTTTTCCGCTGTGGGCTGGGTCTGTCTGGAGTGAGACCTTCCTCTCTTGCCAAACGAGCTGTGTTGAAAACCGCAGGGAAACTGCATATGTGTATATAATGTATGATGTGTATTTGTGTGTGTGTGTGTGTGGAAGGAAACTGCTGTAGAGCTATTTGCCATCAATTAGCGGCCTGGACTGAGATGAGGCCAACAATACAGAGGGAGCTGCTTTTATATTCTTAGGAAGGGAGTTCCTCTCTCTTTCTGTCCCTGCTCACCTCATCATTATCTTTAATTGTCTATCTCTCGATGCCCTTTTCCCTTCACTTAACAGAGAAAAGCTGACAACATCTCCTTAGGAAGCGGTAGATTTTTTTTTTTACTGTGTGTGTGTGTTTAAGATGTGTGTATATGATGATGAATTGTGTCATGATATAAAGCAGTCCTGGGTATTCAGTCAGCTCCTTTTTATGACTGCGCGTATACCCCTGTGAATCAATAGAAACATTAGATGAGTTTAGGGACATAGTTGAAGGGGAGAGGTTTTCTCGTTTCACAAAACAGTTTTGAACTGAAGAGAACCATCTGGAAAACGGCAGGGTCCCCAGAGTTTAGAACAGGTCCCTTTTGTGAAAAATAGGATGTGAAAAAAAATCTAAAATCAGCCAGGGTTTTCAAACATTACGGCATATTTTGAAGTTCTTTTGGAGTTTGTGAGTTTTTATTGCGTTGGCTCTTGAACGCGGTCTTTCCTCTCTTTAATGGTCAGTCTGGGCCCAGAGAAGCTTGCTTCAGCCGTTTTAAAACCTCAGCTCTCGATCCGTGCCTTTATATTGCGGAAACATTACATTAAATAGCTGAACGGGATTGCGGCTGGCTGGTGTTTCTGAAGGTGTCCCAGATAGTTCCAGCTCGGCGGCGGCCTAAACAGATTGAGGTATTCAGTGCCGTTTGAGCTCACTTATATTGGTGGACGACTGGTTTGAAGTCTGCGTTGCTATGAGCGAAAACAAATGGCAGGAAAGCTGGTGAAAGGAGGCCGGAAAGACCTGATTAATACCAGAAAAAGAGAAGGAGTACGTGAGGAAGAGTCAGAGGAAAGGGGCGAAGTCTTGGCAGAGCATAGTTTATTTGTAACCCACCGTGAAATTGAGCGGCTTTAGCAGGCTTTGGCTCAGGCTGCCCCTTACCCCTATATGTTTACCCCCTGGATACCCCTGATCTGCCCTAAATATATGTACCACTACTTGTTCCCTTAGACCTCTGATCTATAATAAAACTGCATCCAACTTTAAAGAATCATAATGTGTCTTTAAATTAATGTTTTTGTTTTTTGGGGGCCTTTTTCCCTTTTATGAAATAGGATAGCTGAAGATAGACAGGAAAGGGGGTAGAGAGAGAGGGGATGACACGCAGCAAAGGGCCACAGGTCGGATTCAAACCCTTGGCCGCTGTAGCATGGACTTAGCCTCTGTCGGGGTGCCAGCTCTACCAGGTGAGCTATCCGGGTGGCCCAAAATTAATGTATTTTTGGCGTATTACTTCTGACATGTAATTACTATGAAGAAATTAGGCCATTTAAGACCACATTCACTTATTGCTTACAGCAACAAGGAAACAGTTGCTACCTGCTCAGCAGACCTTCTCTCTTTCCGTGCTACAGAGCTACTTACCTTTTTGTCCTAACATAATCCTTCAAATTTCCCATTGAAGTTAGCGTCTGGTGGAAAACATGAGCATCAGTGAAATCAGCTGCTTTAATGTTTGGTTGGAATAAAAACTTCCAGACTTTGGCCTTGATGGTGTACAACTACAACAATCCAAGACTGTCAATCATCTCAAAAATGTACAGTAACCCAAAAAATTGTATATAGTAGCAATGAAGATTGTTTAAATGCAACCAATCTATTATAACCATATCTTGAATATTGACATAATAATTCTAAATGCAGCTTTACCTTTAACTACCTATCCCAGTCCCACAGCTGCCGTCACGGTAGTGGGTCTTTGTCTGACAGTCGAGGGTCCCCTCATAAGGCCAACAGCTGCATTCACAAGGCTTGGTTTCCATTGGTCTGGACAATCTATTTTAGGCTTCTGTCTAACCCATATCTGCTCTGAGAATTTACTGTGGCGAATAAGGGTATGGGTAACAGATTTCTTTAGTGGAAAGGGGAGGGGGCAGAGGGGGCAGGGCACAAGAAAGACAGAGTACTTGGAAAAATGCCAGCCAAACTTTTGTGAGTTATACATTATATGGAGAGGCAGAGTGAAGGAAAGAGACAGATCGGGTGATATAGATGGAGAGAAAGAAAGTAGGAGTGATCTGGGAAAGCAATCTGGTTTTTGTGGTGAGTGACAGTGATGCATTTGATTCGTTGGATTCCACCGCGGCTGTAACCAAGCCTTCACTCACATATGCCCTAAAGTCATACAGCAATCCCACTAACTGTCACCTCTTCAGTAATCCGACTTTGTGTACAGTGTGTGGGTGTAAATAGCTTCTAAACACACAGGTGAGCTGGCGCTACTGTAGTATCATCATCCTTTTAACAAATTTACATGCTTTGTAGATTGTGTTACATCTGTTCAGTCTTGTTTCATCGTCTTCTCTGAGCATCAAGAGAAAGAGAAGGGATCAAAGATGAGAGAGATTTAATGCCAGAAATACTAGTAGAGAGTAGCAAGTCAGGAAGAAGTCATTTAAAGTAGGTGGGGGCTTTATTGGCATTTGGAGGTGTTTCCTGGTGCTAAAGTGAGGAGGCACTGTGCAAATGGATACAAGGGATCACAGGGGTGACCCAAGAGGACGGCAGCATCGACGCAGCTTTAGCTCAGATTTCAGCTTCAATGACAGCTCGCCAGAAAGGAGATAGAGAGAAAGAGGGAAGTAGGTGTGAAAAAAAGAAGATCTACGCTCCTCTTCTGAACCTGGTCTCTCTTACTGATCCAAAATCAGAAAGCGTGCAGGCCTGCAGAGAAGCAGCTGGGTGTGACGAGCTCTTTTCTACATCTTCACCCTTTATCTATCTACCCATCTCGCCATCTCTTGCTCTCTCCTGGGGAAGAAAAGGGTTTAGGAATGGAGGAGCGGTGCATCACAAGCCTCTCTTCCCATGCTGCTGAGCTAGTAAGGCGGAGAGGGGATACTTGTTTGGAGCTAGAGAGATCTGTTACGTCCGACGCTGCTGAAACATCCGAAACTAGCCTAGTTTAGCTGTGTCGTGGACAGATGAAACAATGAGCTTCTCACCCACACTTGTACTCCTTTCTTTTTTTGTACTCACTTTTCCTGGTATAAGAGCAAAGAAATCTGATACTACCTGCCTCCCCCTTGCCCTTCCTAACTCCCCTCCCTCCTCCTCCCTCGAGGACAGCCCACTGTCTGCCCCGGGGGCTGTTTATCTACGGGGGGAGATGAGGAGGAGAGGGGGACCGGTTTGTTTCGTTTTGGCCGTCAACAATGGACCTCAGTCTGTGCTGACGGACTACTCCAACATATGGTACCCACCTGTCTCTCTCTCTCTCCTCTCTCTCCCTGCCTCCCCCTTCTCCTTTGCTACGTCTCTCTGTTTAGATTACTTTGCTTATTCCTGCGTTCTCTCTCCCTGTCTCACCCAAACACACTGGGCGGATTAGAGGCCAGATTCATCACACACACAGACCTGTTTGCTTTAGCAACCTGAGCCAGGCACATGCGCGTGCGCGCGCGCACACACACAAACAAATCTAACTAGGGAGGCCTGGCCTTGCAACCTGATGATTGTTACTTTTTTGTTCTTATCTAAGATTCAGTTCATAACTTGACATCTCATCCATGGTAGGTGGAGTATAATCTAGTATATGTGCATGTACACACAGGTGCACACACACACTGCAAGATCAACATACACACGTAGCAAAATTATATTTCTATCCTTTTCGTCTAATGGATCTTCTAACTGCCTCATCAACCCTCCCTTCTTTCAAAGAAACATAGTTGTCAGCCATTTTTCGGAATCCTGTTAAAGAGAGAAAGTACCCTTTACTCTGTGTGTGTGTGTGTG